TTCGCGTTGACCTTGTTCGAATAGGATTGATTACTCTTTTTTAAAAGCCCGTGACTCCATTTACGACTCTGAATTGAAGGTCCGGACGGAAGATGAAGTCAATAAGCTCTTGCTGTAGCAGCCTGGCAAAAACCCTGATTGCGTAACTCATGTTTCCTGCGGAAGGTTCTGAGAACTACTTGCGTTCCGAAGCTAATAATAACGAGGACAGCGGATTCCATGAGTAGTGGTGTGGCTTTAATAGTGCTTCGAACTATCTGCAGCTGAAATAAAATACATATGAAATGTATATGCATGTAATGCATATAATAAATAAAATCTGCATAGGTTCCATATCATAATTACATATCCATATAATCCATACAAGAACTGCATATCACACATATATTACATGAACAGGAGTGCCTTAGTATATGTATATAAATGCGTATAATAAAGGAATGTTAAGGCGTTTATACATGGAAAGGGATGCATTTAATAAATCCATGTAGGTCTATACAAATCATTTAATAAATGTATTGCATGTTCGGAATATATTCCATATTTGGAGCACAAGCGATGGGGAAGCCGGAGGGCCCAAACCCCCTTAAACTCAAATTTTCCGTATTTCACCATAGATGGTTCACGACAGAATGCATGCGGAACAGAAAAACCGGCGCGATGTGCACTCACCGAGCTCCGGGCCTTACTTAAGGAAGTCCTGGCTACATCACTGCCCATGGAATCTGTTTGTCATTGCGCGTACTCAGCATAGCCTATAAGACATATGACGGCATGCGACTGGATAAGCCCGCATCGCAACTAGATTCACGGGCAAGATAAACCAGGTTTTACGTGAACCCGCCTCTATGACACGCACAGCCGTTTCTGTGACCCAAATACTAATTTGTCACACTGGTAGCGCGCGCAGTATATCGGTCAGACGCCCTCTGTATACCGGTCAAGCGACGCGCGTCCTTCACAGGGCGGCTGAGTTACGGCGCCCCGTAATGACACCCGGACTGGTCACGGTATCGGTAGGGGCCCCACCCCACGCTCGTTATCTCGCCACGCACCTGCTGATAGTGGGGATACGGGGACGGGGGGGGGGGGGGGGGAGGGGAGGCGAGCGACTGGGTCGGCGCGTCGGCGCGTCAGACTGGCTGCTTCTGCCGGGCGGCAATACGGCGCAAATACGACCGGTCACGGGATGGTGGGCCGAATTCGGAGGGCGAATGCGCAGCGATGGCGATAATGACTGAATTAATTGTAGCGTTATTAGCATCGTCCTGTGTCGTAAAAAACCGGCGTGGGGAGAGGTGGACTCTGTGACGTGCGACAAAGCTGTTTCGCACCTGAGTTGTCCGCCCGACAGATGAACAGACGTCGCCTCCTGTCGCAACAAACCGGCTCGGGCGGGGCGTGACCCTGGCTGGCTGACCTTGTAGCGGTCAGTCGGTCAGGGGACCCGCATGGCTGGACGCCCCTTGCGACGGATGGTTCGGTTTCGCTGTCGAAATGTCCCGAGCATGCTGCGACTTGGACGACGGAATCGACCTTTCTCATACGGACCCCGCGCGCTTCGCACCAGGCCGATTCTCCCACCCCACTAACTTTTGGAGGACGCTGCTCGTAGCTGACAATCAGTCAGTCGATCAGTTCCTGTGCTACGACTCACGCCAGCGGCAGCATGAGGTCCTCAGGGGCTGGAACGTCCGGTCAGTTCTCGCTTGCCGCCGTCAGGCACGTTCGGAATGTCTTTCACACACATTCCTCTTCCGTTTTCAGTGACTTTTCTAGGCCCTGGTTCTCCCCTGGCGCTCTCCCCTGCCCACGCAATTAAAGCAAAGAGGGCGGCATGAGTTCAGTCTCCATCAGGAAGTGCTAAGAAGGGATACAATAATTATTTTATGCTTAACGTACAAACAGTTTACTTAAATGACGGCTGCATCCCATGGTCGGCGTATTTTGTGCCACTTGACATAGAAGTGGGCACAAGGAGTTAAATATACGATTCCGAAGAATTAGTGCTGTGCGGACGATTTAGACCATCCAGAATAACTGGATTTTTATAACTTCATCAGAGTTTGAAGACAGATTTGAGCGAAAGACTGTACTAAATGCTTCTTGACAAGACAACTTGGACGATATTGCTTACACAGCAGATGGGAGGAGGATGGAGCAGCATTGAGGGAACCAAGGCACTCACTGTCAGTTGAAAACCCTTGTCCATGCCACCGCTCCGGGTGAGAGGTCCCAAGATGGCGGTGGGAAATGTGAAGCCTCTCGATCGGCAGACTCCAGCGAGCCGTGCGAGCCTCCCGCCGCAGGAGGGACGGAACAATGCCCGGGATCGATACAGAGAGGAATGGACTCAATGTCACAGAGTCACGACTCCGCCCCGTCTAATTGATCAACGCCATTCGATTCTGCCTCAACAACCAATTCTCTGTTTGCAAATCCTTCACTTTTCTCTGCCGCCCGGCCGGCTATTTTGCTTGTTTATCGCACAGCTCGCCACACTGGCGACAGCTGCACCGTGATGCGAATCTCCCGTGCACTGCGGTGTGTTGCATGGTGCTTAAAGTGCCTGTGACAAGCACCGTCAAAGGCGCACTTCGGAGCCTGCCCCCGTCAGGCTGGCGTCCTGGGGCTGATGCGCCTTTCCAATCTGATCATATAAACGTATGCTGTACACCTCAGAACATTCACAAACACGCAGCTATTCTTGCAAGAATCGTAGCCAGTGCCGATGGAACACGGAGCCTGACGTCATGAAGGAAGGCAGGGATTAAGTACCGGTATGGACTATCCGTTCATGTTTCGCCTGCCTCGGAGTGGTCGACCTCGGGTTAACACGTGACATGTTAAAGCGTTATAGTTGTCACGCTATTGAAAGTTCCGTCCGGAGCAGACGCATTGTGCGCTGGAGCAGAATGAGGCGCAGGCAATGGTAGTCGAAGAGACTCCAGTAAGAAGCGCAAACGCAACTTTCCCTACCTGTCCACTGCTACTTGTCGAACGAAGCTGGTATGGGGCGCGTGCCAGAGCCCTGCTGCGTTGTCAGCGATTTGCTGTAGGCGTCGTGGAGGGTGTCCTGTTAGCCACAGGTTCGATAAGGCCTGAGGCGCCGTGAATTATTTGGTGCGGCCGCCCTTCGTCGCTTGCGTGATACGAAACATCAAAATAACTCTCAGGCGCGGGCCGGCAATTTGCCGTGCGTGGTTTCCGGTGGTGTCTTCCTCACATATTCACGAGACACCGTGTAATTACCGGTTCGGCAATAATCGTGGCGATCCCCCGACCTACGGCACGACCAGGGGCGACTCCAGGTGACCTGAGCCCCGCCCCTCCTGGCGGGTGACGTCAGCTGGGCGATCCTGGCCAGCCAGGGCGATGTGCGGTGACCCCCTTCCCTCCCCCCTGTCGGGCCCCCGCCGCCTATGGCACGGCGTGGGACTGGCACACCTGCGGCCCGTTGATTTTTGGTTACCGACGACACGGGCGCGGCCCGGCCGGCACGTAATTAACGGCTGGCGTATTATGACCTGATGGGATGATACACACCGGTTAATCGCAATCGATGCTTGGTGCGGATTCTGCGCGAACCTAACTCCCGCCCGGCCCAGGACGAAAGCGATGGGAGCGGAGGGAAGGCAGGCCTGCGCTGAATTGATGGCATAATGTTTTGGTGCTATTGGCATGGATATGACGCTTACAAACAAAGCCGGCAGCTAATCGGACAGTGATACGGCACGGCTCGCTGAGAGCGCAGGGCGCGAGTGTGTGCTGCTTATAGGACCGGCGTTGGGTTCCACACCGTCCAGGACTATAACACCGAGTCAAGGTCAAGGCTCGTCCACCGAGACGGACGGACGCAGGCTTGCCCGCAAGAGACATCACAGGTGCTCCGCCGCTATCTGCCGGCCCCGTCCCGGGGCATGGATTCTATGGAGGGCGGGCCCTGCTCGGACGCTGCCGAAGCTCGTCAGTGCGGGGGGCGTGCTGCGGCCGCTGCCGCTGGAGCTGCCGCAGCTGCTGCCGGCCGCCTTCGCCGCGTTCGCAGGCCTGCCGGCCGCTAAGCCGCCGCCGCCGCCGCTGCTGCCGTTCGCCGCGGCGCGGGCGCTGCACCTGCCGGGCGTTTGGCCGCCGCTGGTCGGGCCGGCCGACCAGACAGCCTGGCCGCTGACCCGAGGACGGGATGAGCTGGCGCTGCCGGCCGCTGCGCCCTGGAGCGTCGGCGGCTGCTGGCTGCCGTCACCGCTGCCGCCAGCGCCAGCGTCGGCAGCTGAGAGGCGGACCAGCCAGCTGTCGCCAGTGCGCCTCGCAGCCGGCGACCAGAGACGCGCGGCCAATAAAGTGGCTGCAAAGAGAAGCGGGGATGGAACGAGCGGTGGAGCGCCAGTCTCTAAGCGTGTTCAGATAGACGCAGCTGTTCAAAACCGCGTCTCGTTCTCTAGCCAGTGCTACTCTTCCATGTCAACACATGGGAAGTTAAGTAACAGTACAACAGCTGTGAAGGAGGTGGCAACGCCAGCCACCGATGTGGATCCCAATGTGTTCAAGACGCCATTACCTGCGGGTATTCAACCGATTAAGAGAGAGAATACCGACGAAGATGAGGACCAATCGCCTCCCAGCGGTGCGTTGCCTTTGAAAGCAGAGGAGACGGTAAGCTCTCGATGGTTCAACCCACATGACGGGGACTTCCAATTTGCGTGGGAGAAGGACCTTACTTTGTCACAAAGAACAACAACGCAAGCCAACTGCGCGTCTCCATGCGTTCAAGCCGGGTTGAAAATGAGGTCATTGTCCCCAGGTCTGATCGACAGTCCCACAACACTTGCCCGGCCACCTCCAGCGACTTCTGCTGCCACGGAATTAAGAAAAGCTCCTCGAGGACCGCCAGCAATACTGTTATATGAAAAGGAGAGTAGCAAAGCGTCCGCTTCAGTTCAAGCGCACGAGGCAATTTCTTCAAGCAAAGTACAGCACGATGTTTCAAACAAAAGCGAGAAGCATCAGACTCGCGTGGCAAGTCTGAAGCGGCTGTTGATAACGAGAAGCCGAAGACGACCGCGTCAACACAGGCGGCCGCCGCGAGCGGGCACCAGGGGCTCAACAGTCACGGAACTGATGGTGAGAAGGCGCCTCTGAGCGAGAACCGCCGCCAGAAGAACAACGAGGCGGCCAAGAAGTCACGCGACGCGCGACGCGCCAAGGAAGACAGCGTGGCCGTCAAGTGCGCCCTGCTCGAGGCGGAACACGTCCAGCTGCGCCTCGAAATGGCCTGGCTCAAGAACGAGACGGCCCGGCTCAGGTACCTGCTGTACAGCAGCTAGCCGGCCAGGCCGGTCAGGTACCTGCTGTATAGCAGCTAGCCGGTGAGGCGGGCCAGGAACCTGCTGTACAGCAGCTAGCCCGCCAGGCGGGTCAGGTACCTGTTGTACAGCAGCTAGCCGGCTAGGCGTGTCAGGTACCTGCTGTACAGCAGCTAGCCGGCCAGGCGGGTCAGGAACCTGCTGTGCAGTAGCTTGTGGGCCTGGCGGCTGGTAAGCTATGCTGGATCGCCGCCAGACTCGGATGCAGCGAAGAGCTGAGAGGAAGATCTAGTCACTTCAGATTATTATTATTATCGTCATGAAATGACAAAGGAAACGGCGTTTTCGTCTCGGTTGTTGTTTGTGCTGCACTCACATTGTGCTCCGTATGCGGTGATGTCCGTGTGTTGTTTTAGCATGGGGCATTTTGTTTAAAGTAATGTTGAGTTGCTAGTCGAGCTCGTATGACAGCGGCCTGATGAGTGATAGCATATACATGACAACGTTAGGCACGTGACGAACCAGGATGACATCCAATAAATCAGTTGACAGAGAATCAGTGTCTTACTTATTTCGCTTGCGGCTTTCAACCTGATATCATGAGGTGGAAAATGTGCACGATGTGGAAGATAACTCAAGAATATATTGTTATCTTCAAAACATGTGAACATAACTTGAAACTGTGTGCGCTAAACTTGACAGGTGATCGTAAACAGAAAATACAGCCCTTCGATGAGGTGCTACGCCAATCAAAATCTTTTCAGGCGCTTAACATGCAAAATATGGCATTTGTGCAATAAAACGGGCTAAAATAATAATTCACAGTCCTCCAGGCGCCCTCTTATTTTTCCTATTTTTAAAACGAGCTTCCCGCTATGTCAAATGATCAGATCGACATCTCAGCGCTACGTCTCTCAGATCAGATCTCTGTCTCAGCATCGACCCTTCCAGAGCGACGTTGTTTTTCGATCAGAGTCGATTGCCGTCATGACCTGTGGCGAAGCATTCTCAGATACGTTGCGTATGTGACGCGGGGAGATAAATTCAGGAGCTGCATGACGCATCGGGGCGCTCGAGCGAGTTTTGCTTTTTTAGTTAGGTTGTTGTGTTTTGTTTGTTTTGGTTTGGATGAAACAAATGGGTGGGTCTTCGTTGGCGTGCTGGGTGTTCCGGGCGTCTATGTGTATTTATTTTTAGTGGAAACGAAGCATACAGTGCAAACGGGCTATGGCGTGAGAATTAGGATGAGATGAGAAGACGCTTGTTGCGGTATTGCACGTATGACCACTTGCAAAACATGAGATCGAGAAGCGGCGCCACCAGGGAGGCAAACAAATCTTTTGAGTTTCATACGCCAGAGGACCGAGGCAAAACATTCCGTCACACCAAAACGAAGGTGCATAACCCTGTTGTAGGCAGATCACTCCCAATCATCCTATTCCAGACAGCGGGGAGGAGGGAGGAAGGGGTTAGAACCTGCCCCACCTGTAATCTCGGAAACTATTTGATCGATCATGAAGACCAAACGGTGGCTAATTTCTCACCATGTGGTATTTTTCCAAATGCTAAGATTTTAGAATAATGGGCCAGATCATATTTTGCGATTTAATTGCTCTAACGACAGTTTTAAGGTAAAATACTGTGTGTGTCTAGGAATGCAAAATAGGGAGACAACAATCGTACTTAAACCGCGTATTTTTATTGAATGCATGCGGAACAAATGCGATGGTGCTCTACCCTGTTATCAAAAAGCAGGCTTCAGCCAAACATTCAGCAGAGGCGGAACTAGCTTGACGACTGGGCTGATAAAAAGGGGAGACCATGCAATTATATAAATATTCTTGGCGACCCCAACGCTGCTGCGCGTTGCAAATCAAGTACGGTGCTCACATAGCGCGGGCATGAGCAACAGCCGTGTGCAGCGATCTGAATGAGGGGGAGTTGGGACACGTCACTTGAGCGGAGCTCATTGCTGCGGCCGTCAGCTGATGGTCCACCGCTGGTGGCAGCGACCCGCCTGTAATGCTCCTTTGTGAAAGCTGCTTAAAAAAGGAGAGGGGTGTGCAGGTTTTGCGAAGGGACACAGCCGAGTTTATCTTCAAACCCATGCAAGCACTATGGTGCTGTGAACTGAGCATGTAGCAAACTCTATATGAATACGTGAAATGAAGGAATGCAGGAATGGAAATGTAGCATTTTGCGCAGAGACACCTCGAGGAAAGATAGACAAAGGGATTTATTTCAGCTGGATTATGAGCCCATAAATAAGAAGGCAGCACTAGCCTTCTTCCTCGTAGAAAAACCAGGAAAATGAAGATATAGATGCGTTGATATTACAGCAACATGTCTTTATCGAAACGAATACAAGAAGACTGCTATTTGCTTCGATGAAGGCATGTTGCCGAGATATGAACGCATCTATATTTCAATTTTCCTGGTTTGTCTACGCGGAATAAGGTTGTTACCATTGTCTTACTTATGCGTATAATGTTCCTCGCAAATGCACTTAACTTACGTATTTTGCACCATGAACCATTAATACGTATGCGTATGTTGCCTTCCACCTTTCATTTTCACGCAGTAACAGCATCTAAAAAGTGTGTGTCAGAGACCAGTTTCGACCAGTAAAGGGAGCAGTACACGGAGACCATGCCCATTAACAGAAGCTTTCCGCAGACGGGCGTGGAGATGAGCCCGTTAACGTCCGCTCATGTTTTTAACGTGCGATCATGGAAATTAAACCATGCTATTGGTCCATTAGCTAAGCGTTTCTGAATCATATTCGTGAAGCTGGATCATTGGTGTTGTACCAACACACCAACATGCCAACATGCGCACAATTCGCTCGGATGACGCTAAGATACAAGTCCTCGACAAGCCGGGTTACTGTGTTCACACGCCATACAAGTGATACGAATAATGAGATGGCTGGTCCCCGGCCTGTTAGCCATTCAATGCCGGAAATTAACACAGAGCCACGCAAAGTGAACCCAAGTAGAACCCACTGTGCGCCCACCCGCTCTGCGCCCAGGCTGGCCTGGAACCCACCACACCTGGGCCGAGAGGGCAGATGCGGGGGCTATTATTCCCTGTCCATTGAATGACGGTCAAGTGGTTTTATAATGGGGTCAATGGCAATTTAGGCAAGCGTCCCGGGCGCACCCACAGCCGCAAGCTCTGGGATGCCACTCGCTGCTGGGGCTGAAACTCTGCGTGAACCTGCGCTAATCACATGCCTCTCGTTCTTTCTGTAAATATATGGATATCGGTCACTTTGGACGAGCTTTAGACGAGCTGCTCGCAACGAGCCTGCTTTGTGAGGACTTGGATCCCTAGTATGCTGGTGCGATAACAATGATCATGCTTACCCGATATGATTCAGAAACACTTCTACTGACGGCTCAAATTAATTTTTATAGCCATCCATTGAAATAAACCAGAATAGCAGCGTAAAAATAGAACACTTGCCAAGAGCATGACGCATTCCAAGATGCATTCCTGTGATATCAGACGAATGTCAAATGAGTCACTCTTAAAGCATCATAACCTAATATTTAGAGATTGCCATGCAGTTTGAAGCAAGCTGTTTTAACAAAAATAAATGGTTCTGTTGCGTGGCACCCTGAAATTTCATTATCAAAGAGAGTGTTCCACATTTGTTTGTAACTTTGAACTGAAATATACATATTGAAGACCATTCGCTGCAATTCACTGCCCTGTCCTTCTTTAGACCTAAACTCGTCTAGCTTTCGAGGTATACGCCCGTGAAGATGTCGCACTGTTTCGGGGAAACTTTTGCAAGGTCACCCAGGCATCCATGACGTCATGATAATGCCGTTTAAATCATGCTATTCCATCAGCCATGCGGCGATCAGGGCCAAGAAATACATCATTTTCAAATCGCTCATATCTGGTGTTTGTGAGCAAGATTTCCAAATATAACTGCCACCAATTGGCTCCCAATGAATGCTGTGCAAGGTACAATAACGTAATGAATGACGTATTGAGGAGCATATCTATTAAACAGAGAAATTGTGTTGTCTAGAGCAGTCTTTTCCACCTGAAAATATACCAACAGTCATTAGAGCGTATTTTTTCGTACCTGACGCTTGTTTGGATATGTTTACATGGGGGAGCATTCCCTTAAGTAACCACGCATGAACAGAATTAGCTGTCCATGCCATAAGCCTTTCAACCCGTTAAAAATGAATAGCGTCAATAACCCTCCAAAATAACCGACTAGACCAATCAATATCCTGTTGGAGAAAAAAAAACCATCAAATTGTGTAAGGTGTAAGATATTTGGCCGAGTAGCGAATCGCAGGCACAAATGAAAAAAGACCAACACGCTCTTTCATGCAAACTTGAAATTGTTTCAAACGTATAGTATCATACCGGTAAAAATGCAACGAACGTTCGCGTAGCTTTCATGTACCATTTCCAAACCAGACAACGCTTTTCTGGCTGAATAACAATATTGCTACTGCCCAAATAAATCGGGGGGGGGGAGGGGGCGGGGGGCGGAAAGGATGGCGTAGCTAGTTCACTCTTTAAGGCAAAAACCGGCTCGACGCTCGTTATGGTTTGCATTGGTTGATCACTAACGCTTAATGAAATGTCGATGTTAGCGGTTAGAGTGTAAGGGTGCGACACAATTTATAAGCTAGGGGAAGAAGTTGGTTTTGCCAGTTTCTTCTGCTTAAATCTAAACGTCTACGCCATACTGCACCACGCACGACACAAAGGCGTACAGTGACAAAACGTTGGAAGCGCTCTAGAAGACGGGCTGTTCAAATGTGAATGTGCAAAAGACACCAATTGCATATGAAAGAGCTCGGGGAGGTGACCGACAAGCTAAGAGCCGACACCAACACCAACCAAATTGGACACGGTAGGAGCGAAGTGATCGCTAGGTTTAAGATGATAGCGATGAATTGAGACAGGACAGAACAACTTAATGGCGCCTCAGCCGCCTTTGCGCTTCTGCAGCATGCGCGACACTCAGTTTCCCCCAAACACTTTCTACCACGGCTATCACGGGAATAGCAATCTGGTATTTCTACTGTCGTGCCATCTCGAGACGGCTTCCTGCCTTTGCAATCAGACGCTTTGCTTCGTGAATATCGCTTCACGTGCTGTGCACAAGAAGGCTAGAATCCGAGATTGGGGCAATGATCTTGAAGCTTCCATCAAGTGCTTCTGTTAGTCCGCAAGTATTATGGTAAAAACCATCATCTTCACAGCTACCCAACAATGCTCTCAAGTGCAGTGTAGGCCATGCTCACGGGGAATTAATTTGAAAAGCTCTCACTTGAAATGTTTGGTGGTAATAGAAAAAAACTAGGCATCCGATGCCCCCCCGCGCCCACAGACAGGTTAACTGTCGCTCTGATAGGGTGTCGATACGACCACCGACGATTTATTGACGATATCTCTCCGGGAGGTCATGCAATCGCGCCCAAAACTTTCAGTGGAGTATGGGAATTTCATTGCACGTGTTTTGACACCGACAATGTGTCGATAGCTTCTCCGATTTTGGAGCAGCGGCA